AATAAAGGGGGCACCAATTTGAGACTGAGATGAGGAGGAATGTCTTCCATGAGAGGGTCGGGAGTCTTTGGAACTTCTTACCCCAGAGAGCTGTGGGGGGGCAGAGGCCTTGCGTATATTTAATGCTGAGATTCCCGATGAGTCAGGGAGAGGGGGATCAAGGGAAAGGTCAGGAATTTAGACACGGTGAATGTTGGATTAGCCTGGATCCTATTGAATGGGGGGCAAGCAGGCTCAAAGGGCCGAATGGCCTCTTCCTGCTATAAATCTGACCTGATTCCACATCCCGTGGAACACCAGGGAATATTTCACCCCACGAGAGCTGCTATATACAGGCAGGGTTTTGCGGGTGGGTGGGAGCGTGTGGTACCTGTGTCCTTTGGATCGCTCTCGTCTTTCTTGTCTGCGCTGTATGCCTCGTCGGAGCCCGAGGAAATGGTCTGAACGTCGTCACTGTCATTGGCGGCAACAGCGGCAGCGGGTGCCTGGCCCTGTGTGGGTTTACGGCTGCCGCTAGTCTGTGTGCCCGTCTCCATCTCGGTGTCTGAGCTGCTTGATAGCGTCATCACCTCCTGCTCGAGGCGTGGGGGGTGTGAGACAGAGAGAGAGCGTGACCGAGCGAGACAGAGACAGCGTGCGTGACAGCAAAGCGTGAGCGCGAGAACGAGAGATCCCATCAGCTCAATGAGTCCAGCTGAGCCCTTGCCATTGAGCGATCGTCAATCCCGACCCTCAGGTCTCCCCCTTGGAGTTTATGCCCCTCGCGTGCCTGTACATTTCCCGTGTGAGGATCACCTGCTGACTTCCCCCACCCCGGTCCATCATCAAGAGCCACGGGCCGCAGAGTACCTGGCTGTGCACACCCCCTGCTCCCCGTAACCCAGCCCCTAACGTAAATGCACCTTCCCTGCCAACACTCCAAAATCCTCGTCCCATCTGTGAACAGAGATGGACAGTTGGCCACTTGAACCCGAACCAGCCACTGCCTCGATCCAAACTCCTCTGCTCCCGGGAGGAGCAGCCCCAGAGCCTCCGTACTGCCCGACTTCCCTCACCACTGCTCCCCCGCCCCCACCCCAAACCCCACGCCCATTTTGGTCAACCTCACACCCTTCCCTCCACCGTGGGAACACGAGGCAATGCCTGACCTTTATCAAAAAGGTGCCCTCTTTACATTTTTGTCGCTAATTCACCAAAGAGGGCATCACTGGGCCAGCCATTCAGCGCCCACCCCAGTCGCTGTGGGGTAGGGGGGAGGGCATGGAGTGACGTGTAGGCCCAGACCCAGGTGGCCGTTTCCTTCCCTGAAGGATCAGTGAACCAGGCAGATTTTAGCCCGACAAAAGTCGGCAGTGGTTTCATTTAAAACTCCTACTTCCAAATACTTTTCACGGAATTCAAATCCCACCGATTGCGATTCGAACCAAGGCCCCTGGAACGTGACTGAATCTCTGTATTAGTCGAGTGATAATCGCCTCAGTATAAACGGCCCCACCCTGCTCTCGATTTGTCAAGACCCCACAGGTTTTGCTCAGTGAGAGTGAGAGAGGATGTCAGCAAACCAGCCAGCTCTTTAAAAGGAGGCCAACAGCTTCCCAATCACAGTCCCTCGCAAATCAGTTTTAGAGTCGTACGGCATGGAAACAGACCCTTCAGTCTGAATTGTCCTGGTCGACCCTTTATCCTAAATTAATCTAGTCCTATTAAGACTCTGAGCTCTACAGCACGGAAACAGACCCTTCGGCCCAACTCGTTCATGCCGACCCAGATATCCTAAATTAATCTACTCCCATTTGCCAGCATTTGGCCCCTACCCCTCTAAACCCTTCCTATTCATGTCCCCATCCAGACGCCTTTATAAATGCTGTCATTGTACCAGCCTCCACCACTTCCTCTGGCAGCTCATTCCATACATGCACCACCCTCTGCGTGAAAAAGTTGCCCCTCAGGTCCCTTTCCCCTCTCACCTTATGCCGCTCTAGTTTTGGACTCCCCCCTACCCCTGGGGATAAAAAGACCTTGCCTATTCACTCTATCCATGCCCCTCATGATGTTATAAGCCTCTATAAGATCACCCCCTCAGCCTCCGACGCTCCGGGGAAAACAGACCCAGCCTCTCCTTGTAAATCAAAACCCCCCAGTCCTGGCAACATTCTTGTTAAAACGAATGAATTTGAATTCAGCTGGGGAGATCAATAACATCACTGAGTGAATAATGTTGCATGGGGGTGTTTGTGAGGTGGGGGGGGTGTTGGAGAGAGAGTGTTCAAATACAGCCACAGCCCAGGGAGGGAACTAAATTCAGCGCAGAAAATCTGGAATTGGCAGCTCGTCTTGGTGATCGATTGTGGTAAAAAGGTGGGGGTCACGAATGGGGTAAGGAAATCTGCTGCGCCTTAGCCCAGTCTGGGCCTACATGCGACTCCAGGCCCTCTCACACAGCAATGAGGTCAACTTTTTAATTGCACTGCGAAGGGGCCTGATGGAGGGACTCAGTTCAGCGGAGGGAAGGGTAAATGTCACCCTTGCCGCGAGCACACAAGTAAAAGGCCGGTGACTGAACACCGTTCGCATAGGCCGCAAAGCGTCACCCACGACAACGCAGCTGTTTGGGCTCTCGGTCCTGAGGGGGCGACGGGGAGAGCTCTCCGCACCCAATGCTGCCAGTCGATGATGGCAGTCGCAAGAGCAACAAAGTCGGTGAGGCTGGTGCCGCTCCTAGACCATGGAATCCCTACAGTAGGGAAACAGGCCCTTCGGCCCAACAAGTCCACACCGACCCTCACAGCATCCCACCCAGACCCATGCCCCTATAACTCACCCTAAGCTGTACATCCCTGGGCACTACTGGGTAATTTAGCACGGCCAATCCACCCTAACCTGCACATCCCTGGGCACTGCAGGGCAATTTAGCACGGCTAATCCACCCTAACCTGCACATCCCTGGGCACTGCAGGGCAATTTAGCACAGCCAATCCACCCTAACCTGCACATCCCTGGGCACTGCAGGGCAATTTAGCACAGCCAATCCACCCTAACCTGCACGTCCCTGGGTACTACGGGGTAATTTAGCACGGCCAATCCATCCTAACCTACAAATCTTTGCCCAACAGCAGCTGCCTCCACACAGACGGGTAGATTTAGCGGCGAGTGCAGTGGACATTCCTGACGACAAATTACAAAAAGACAGCGTCCCAAGCTCAGTGGGTAATGGGCACGGCACACAGAACGCTGGCCTTGGTTGGAGAAGGGAACAGAATATAAAAGTCGGGACGTTGTGCTAAAACTGCACGTGACTCTCGTTGGAGACAAGTGGAACACTGCGAACAGTATGCTGGGGCCTCGTATCCAAGAAATGATAGACTGGGCATCAGACGCAGTCCAGGGAAGGCTCGCTTGGCTGATCCCGGGTACGGAAGGGCCAGTCTTAGTCAGCTTGGTTCCTGTACACATTGGGAGCTTAAAAGAACGAGAGGCGACCTTATTGAAACAGACAAGATTCTCAGGGGGAAATTGATAGGGGAGATGTGGAGAGGGTACTTCCCCCTTGTGTGGGGAGCATCTAGGACAAGAGGGACATCATCTCAGAACAAGGTGGCTGCTCATTGAAGACAGAGATGGGGAGGAATTTCTTCGAGACAGTAGGAACTGCCGATGCTGGAGTCAAAGATAACACAGTGTAGAGCTGGAGGAACACAGCAGGCCAGGCAGCATCAGAGGAAGCAGAAAAGCCGACGTTTTGGGTCAGGGATCCTTCTTCTCTCCGAGGGGAGTAAATCTGTGGAACTCTTGACTGCAGTGGGCCGTCGGGGCTGGGTCACGAGGGATATTCGAGGCCGAGGGAGCGTTTTGATTAGATCGGCCACGACCTCACTGAATATGGCAGAGCAGACTCAATAAGTTGAATAGCTCCTACGTCTGACAGAGGATGACCTCCAGAGCTATGCCAGGGTTCGGAAAAGTACAGAACGCCAGGCGGGGGGAGGGGGGAGCAGAAGGTCTCCAGCTTTCACCGAAGACAGCGATCAAGCATGAACGACACCAACCCCCACCGCTGCCCCGCCCCCCCCCCACCCCCCACCGCCTTGGCATGACTGTGCCCACCCCCCCACCACCACGCGACTCACTGGCGCCACACTCACATCTTTGGCAGAAGGTGCTGGGGTGGAATTCCGACGGGCCTGAAGCAGGGTGGTCTTACTGACAGGTCGGCGAATCCCCTCGGTCCGGGCCGGCCGTGGGTTGTAGCCAAAGTTGCGGGATGCATTGTCGAACGGCCTGAAGGACACAAGAGATTGTGGGGAGAGGGAGGAAAAGGGTGACGAGAGGGGGTGGAAAACGGGGTTTCAGCAGGTGCTCGGAGCGACGGGAATCACGGAGTTGAAACTGGATACAGGTCCGTGACCTCTCACGGAGAGAAGGGGGTGGGGGGAAGACAGAGATGGGGAAGAGGGGTGCGAGGGGGGCGTAAAGGGATGCAGACGGGGACACAAAGAGACAGAGACAGGGACGGGGGGGGCATGTGAGGGGACAGAGACGGGATGGGGCAGAGATGGGGGCAGGGGGTGCAAAGGGGGCATAAGGTGACAGGGACGGGGGTCGCGGGTGGGAGGGGACACAGGTGGTGATGGGGAGATGGCAAGAGAGGGGGTTGGGGGAGGGTGTAAGTTAGGGAGCAGGAAGAGGATGAAGAGGAGGGGACCAGGAAGGCGAGTGGGGAGCAGAACTGGCTGAGGAACTGAGTCCAGTACTTACGAAGATATTTTCAGGTGAGGTGGTGCTTCAGGATTCTGCAAAGACAAAAAAAAAGGGGAGAACATCAGCACTTACCCCCACCGTGAAAAAGTCGAGATTGAGTAGCACAGACAGGCAGGAGGGCTCCATTGCTCCGCGCGGTGTAATCAGAGGCTGAGACACTCGCTGTGATCTCAGAATGCAACCAGGCTGGGCTTCACTCACACACTGGTCATGGGTAACAGCACCCAGCACCCAGCACCCGGGACCGGCTGGGGGGGGGCGTGGCGGTGAATTCGCCAGAGAGGACACAGCCACAGGGAGCAATTGGTGCAGGTCCCAGTGTCTAACGGCGGGGGGCTCAGATATCAGTGCACGCTGTCCCAGACTTCAGGGCCCCACAGGGTAACAGTGACAGGGGTAGGGAAAGGGTATAGGGGGCTGGAGGAGGTGTCAGGGATAGGGACGGAGGTGTAGGGGGCTGGAGGGGGGTGACAGAGATAGGGAGAGTGGTGTAGGGGGCTGGAGAAGGTGACAGAGACAGGGAGGAAATTATACTACGAAAAGATTGCAAGTCAACGCACTGAGTATTATTTGGAGAGGGGAGCCTCCATTTACTAAGGACAGTTCGGATCACTTCGGGGAGGGGACCTAACAGTCAGCGCACGCACAGCAAGCTCCCACAAGCCGCGATGACAGGGTGGCTGAGGGGAACTATTTCCCGGGGACCCCTGGTTGGGAAATTGACGTGCACCCGTGAACAGAACCCCTCCCTCCCACCCACCCAGTCCCTGGCTATGCCCCACAGGAAACTCACACCCACCGTCTGAACTGAACGCACGCCTCCAACAGCTTCCACGTCCAGTCAAGGGGGCAAAAAGTGGGTGGGGGGGGGGGGGGGTGGTGGTTTGTTTCCATGTGGATGGGAAAAATGACCCTCTGGGCTACACGTTGCAGTGAGACGCCAAACCTCTCGCGAGTTGGGTTGGGGGGCGTGGGTGTGGGCAGTTCCCGCCGGGGCCCTCACCTTCAGGTCCGCCACCTCAGCCTTGGCGTCTTTCTTCTCCTCTTGCTTGCCCCATGGCTTGGAGTCTGCGTCGGCGGGTTTGGGACCCCCCTCCTCCTCCTCCTCCTCATCCTCCTCGTCTGGCTTGGGGGCCGTCCCCTCGCCCTTCACCGCCTCGTCTTTGAGGGGCTTGGCCTCACCCCCGGCCTCGGGGTCCACAGGGGAGTCAGCCACCCGCATGGCGCTGAGCCAGGAGGCCACCTTGTTCTTGGCCGTCTCCTCGGTGACGGGCAGCTTGCAGGGGGCAGGCGTCGGTGGGGGGGCAGTGGGAGCGGCGGAGGCCGGGGGCGGGCCGGGCTCCTCCTGGCGGGTCAGGCCGGTCTCCGAGCCGTTCTCCTTCTGCTCGCGGCTCTTGGTGCGGGTGACGTAGCTGCGCCACACTGAGCTGGGCACGTAGGCGTCGTCGTTGCCGCCAAAGTTCTGGTCGGAGCTGTCGGAGCTGGAATCCTCGGCGTCGGTGCCACTGTGGTCGTGCTCCTCCTTCAGGTCCACGCCGCTGCTATCCGATGAACACTTGGCGTCACTCTCGTAGCCCTCTTTGTACTTCTCCACGCTCTCGATGTGGTCCAGATTGGCAAAATACTCGTCGCCCATCTCCAAGCCCTCTTTATCCGCAAAGTCGTCGGTAAGGATCTTACCTGCCGGGGTGGGGAGGGGGGAAACGCCAAAGAGACACTGCATCAGGCCAACCACAGCCTAGTGTGTTCCGACAGGGACAACACTTACAAGTGTTCCAACACTTACAAAGCAGACGCCAACATTCCGAGGGCCGAGCGTTCGATTCCCACCCTGGCAGAATTTAAATTCAACGGAGCAAACCCGGAATCACAAAGCCAATCTTGTCAGTCATCGAATGAGGGCCAAAAACAAACAAACCACACAATCTGGATCATCCGCTGGGGCCCCTCACCTGTTCTCGCTCATCAACCCCTCTCCATCGGGTTCGCGGATTGGCCGGCCGGCCAGCGATTCGGGAGCCCACACCCGCTCCCCCCCCCCCCCCCCCACCCCGGGTTCGACTCTACAACCGCCTCCCTGAACTCAGCCGGAGCGAGGGTGCCCGGCTCGAGGGGCAATTAGGGACGGGCGGAGGTAACAAATACTGGCCTCACCAAGTGGTGCCCTCATCCCACCACACAGTCAGGACAAAGCGCAAGCGGGTCGCGCAGTAAGGCTTTTCTTTAAAAAAAAAAGGGCAGGAAAATCCAAGTACAGTCCCGGTTCCCACTTGACAGGAAAAGACAGGATTGCTTGGGGCAGGGGAGTCATACAGTGAGGAAACTGACCCTTCGGTCCAACTTGTCCCTGCCTTCCAGATACCCCAAATTAAACTAGCCCCACTTGCCCGTGTTTGGCCCCTATCCCTCTAAACCCTTCCTATCCATGTCCCCATCCAGATGCCTTTTAAATGTTGTAATTGTACCAGTCCCCACCCACTTCCTCTGGCAGCTCCTTCCATACACGCACCACCCTCTGTGCGAAAAAATTGCCGCTTAAGTCCATTTTAAAACTTACCCCTCACCTTAAACCTATGCCCCTCTAGTTTTGGACTCCCCTTACCCTGGGGAAAAAGACCTTGCCTATTCACCCTATCCATGCCCCTCATGATTTTATAAACCTCTATAAGGTCACCCCCTCAGCCTCCGATGCTCCAGGGAAAACAGCCCCAGCCTCTCCCTGTAGCTCAAACCCTCCAACCCTGGCAACATCCTCGTCAACCTCTTCCGAACCCACTCCAGTTTAATAATATCCTTCCTGTAACAGGGCGACCAGAACTGGACACAGCACTCCAAAAATGTTGCCAAGTCCTGAAAATCGCGGCTGTGAGGGATGGCGGGAGAGAGCCCAGGTTGGTTGTAACAGGGAAGCTTGTGGGGTGAATTGATCGGAGATGTTTGAAAGGATGAGGGGGCAGAGACAAGGAAGATCTGTTACCCCTCCCCCGTCAGTCATCGGGGGCCATGGATTTAAAGGTCATGGGTCGAAGAATAGGAGGGGACTTTGGAAAGGGTCTTCGCCCCTGGGTGGCGGTGGGGGGAGGATGGGAGGAATTCTTTGCCCAGTTTGGTGGCAGAGGTGGAAAGCCTTAGCTGATTTGCATCTGAAATGCAGTAACCTGCGCAGTTAGGGAACAGGGTTGGTGGGGAGGGGGTTTAAAATAAAGCGGTTATCTTCAGCCAGAGCAGCAGGATGAGCTGGACTGTTCTCAGATTTACACAGCACCTTGCACGTCCTCAGGAAGTCCAACAAAACGTTTCAGGGGCTTTGTAGTGCAGGCACTGTCAGCGTCCTCGCAATTATCGCACCCAGCGCTACAGTCAGGACAGACAGACAGTAGCGGTGGAGTCGTCTCAGCAAGGACCGCTCTAATGAGGGTCAGTGCTGAGGGAGCGCTGCATTGCCGCGGGGTCAGCGCCGAGGGATCAGCCATTAAACCCAAGTCCTAGCCTCCATCTCGGGTCGATGCCACTCTGGGAGAAATGGAAACGGGGTGTTTAAAACGCTGGCCTAAGGCACCATCACAAAGTACAGTTGGACTGGGCCGGTATCAGATCGCTGCTGAGTGCGAACCGGTTGTCACATTTCTGAAGTGCCACAACCGCAATATGCCAGCGAGACTATAGGTGTAGGAGTGAGTTTATCATCATGCTGTACCACTCTCCCCTCCCCGCACCCCCCCCAACCCCGGTCCCGCAAACATCCATCAACAACAGCAGAGGGTTTATTTTAAACTTCTGTTCCGATCTCGAACACAAAGCTTCCATCAACAGAGCATCACAAGACACGGGGCTGCCACAAACAGCACATCATGGGAATGCTCAGTCAAACCCCTGGGGGACTTGGGTGGAACATTATTCTCCTATAAACAGCCAGGTGGAAGCTCTATACCCCACCTCCCCGTTCCCCAACGTCCCAAACAACAGGACAGTTACAGCCACACAGCGCAGAGACAGACCCTTCAGCCCAACCAGTCCATAATCCCAAACTAGTCCCACCTGCCTGCTCCTGGCCCATATCCCTCCAAACCTTTCCTATTCATGTCCTTATCCAAATGTTTTTTAAATGTTATAACTGTACCTGCATCCACCACTTCCTCAGGAAGTTCTTTCCACATGCGAACCACTGTGTAAAATCATTGCCCCCTGCCCCCACCCATGTCTTTTTTAACTACAGGCATAGGATGGGGTGCGTGGGTCTGGGAGGGATGCTCTTGGGAGGGTCGGTGTGAACTCGATGGGCCGAACACCCTGCTTCCGCATCGTAGGGATTCTATTCTAAATCTTTCTCCTCCCACCTTAAAAATACACCCCCTAGTCTTGAAGACACCTGCTATTCCCCCTATCCATGCCCCTCATTATTTTATAAACCTCTGTAAGGTCACCCCTCAGCCTCCTACGCTCCAGGGAAAATAGCCCTAGCTTATCCAACCTTTCTTTATAACTCAAACCCTCTACTCCTGGCAAGTCTCTTCTGAACCCTCTCCAGTTTAATAATATCCTTCCTATAACAGGGTGACCAGAACTGGACACAGTGCTCCAGAAGAGGCCTCACTAATGTCCTGTACAACCTCAACATGATGTCCCCAACTCCTTTACTCAAAGGTCTGAGCAATGAAGGCAAGCGTGCTAAACGCCTTCTTAACCCCCTCTGTCTACCTGTGACACGAACTTCAAACAATTATGTTCCTGAACCCCTTGGTGTCTCTGTTCTACAACACTACCCCAGGGCCCTACCATTAATTGTATACGTCCTGCTCTTGTTTGTTTTACCAAAACGCAACCCCTCGCATTTATCCAAGTTAAACTCCGTCTGCCGCTCCTCAACCCATTGGCTCCAATGATCAAGATCTCTTCTTATTCTTAGATAACCTTCTTCTCTGTCCACTGCACCACCAATTTATAGTTGCTCAACTCTTGAACCTGGTTCAACATTTCTCTCTTTCCAGCTCCTCACAGCAGGCAGAGTCTCTCAGGCTCCACACTGACCCTTACCCCACCCCCTCCCGTAAAAACCGAAACGTATACTGCGCCCTTTTCCACCTCCTGACACATCCCCGCAGCCAATGCAGTTCTGTATGGTTTAGTCAGGGAGGCTTCAGCCTAGTGGCATTATCGCTGAAACTCATCTGACATTTGATCGGGGCATCTGGGTGCAAACACGCAGATGGTAGAATTTGAATTCAATATTAAAAAACAAAATCTGGAATCATTTTCGATTGTTGGAAAATCCCATCTGGTTCACTCATGCCCTTTAGGTAAGGAAACTGCCATCCTTACCTGGTCTGGCCTACAGGTGACTCCAGATCCACAGCAATGTGGTTGAGTCTTAACTGCCCCCGGGGCAATTAGGGATGGGGCAATAAATGCTGGGCCTGGCCAGCGACGCCAAACGGAAGATATGGTAGGTGCTATTTGGTACACAACAGCTTTGCAATTTTGATATTGATTGGATTGTCTCTTTCCACGAAGACAGACTGGACATAAGCATTTGTACCCAGGGCACCTTCCCCATCCCGCACCCAGCCCTTCTCTTCCAATCACAGCCCTGGGATCCTACAGCCCACCTGAGGTTGGCAGAGAAGCATTTAAGTCTCTAACAGCACCACACGCCCCCCTCAGCGTTGAAGAGGAAGAGGAGGTGGGGACCAAATGACGGATGGGGGGTGGGGAGCCAACGTCGCTGTGAGTAACCATATCAGGTTGACCCCGGCAGAGTTGGTGAAGAGAGTTGGTTACCTGCGTAAATACAGACAAACGAGCCCTTGGCGATATCATCCAGGCAGCGAATGCCCCAGCCCTTGTTCTGGGTCTTGAAGAGCTGCAGCCTGACCTGTAGGCCGTGCTGCACCAATCTGTTGGTGCACATTCCGACGTTGCATTTGCACCGTTTGTTACACTCATAGATCCTGGGGGAGGCAGAGAGGCGTGGATTAATCTTGAATTCAGTCACAACCTTGTATACATTCGGGGCCCTGTTCCCTGCTGAACTAAAACCCACAGTTTGCAAACCGGATGGGGTGGGGTCTGCTCACCGACACCTGTCACTCAGTTTCAAACCGGGGGAAAGGATGGAACAGACCAGAAGCCGCTAACCTCGCGCCTCTCACCACTGATCACGCCAACCGTCCCGGAGATTCGCTCGTTTCCCACGGGCTCTCGGGCCATCTCTCCTCCATTTTGGGATGAAGACTCTCTCTCCTTGGGGAAGCAATGAAGTGAACACCCCTCCCATTCCCAGCGAGGCTGGTTACACTAAATTGTTCAAGGAAGGCAGGGGGAAACACTACTCCAGAAGTGGTCTCACCAAGGTCCTGTATGTCGGCACAGTGTGGTTTTCTCACTCTTGTATTCAAACACTTTTAAGAATAAAAGGCAAACAGAACTCTATACAGGCTGGGCCCCTCCCTAATTCCCAGAGGGGAGTTAAGAATCAACAGCCATCTGTGCTGGACCTGGAGTCACGTGTAGGCCCAAAATGGGCTGGGACAGCAGATTTCATTGCCCCACTAGTGACTCCCTCCCGAAGGAGGTTTTAACTACTATCCTACCACTAGGTTTTGTTTTGTAGGTGCGGGAGGAAAGACAGTCGTGCAGTGGGAAGAGACCCTGGCCGAGCAGCCCAGAACCCCAGGCAAGTGCCATGCAGACCCGAGTTCAAATCCCACCAGGCCCATGGGGAAATCTGAACTCAATACGAATCTGGAATGAGAAGCTGGCCGAACGGTGACTGGGTAAGCTCTGTCGATTGTCGTACAAATCCAGTGGGTTCACTAAAGTGCTGCAGGGAAAGGAAATCTGCCATCCTTACCTGGCCTGGCCTATACGTGACCCTTCAGAAGGGTCCTGACCCAAAACGTCAGCCTTCCTGCTCCTCTGATGCTGCTTGGCCTGCTGTGTTCCTCCAGCTCCACACCTTGTTATCTCAGACTCCAGCAATCGGCAGTTCCTACTATCCATAAATGGCTTTTAGCTGCTCTCTGGGCAATTAGAGTCCTACAGCTGCACAGCATGGAAACAGACCCTTTGGCCCAACCCGTCCGTGCTGACCCAGATATCCTAAATTAATCTAGTCCCATTTGCCAGCATCTGGCCCCTATCCCACTAAACCCTTCCTATCCTTGTCCCCATCCAGATGCCTTTTAAATGTTGTAACTGTACCAGCCCCCACCCACTTCCTCTGGCAGCTCGTTCCATACACGCACCACCCTCTGCGTGAAAAAGTTACCTCTCAGTTCCCTTTCCCCTCTCACCTTAAACCATGCCCCTCATGATTTTATAACATTTAGTTAATGCTGTCTGCAATGGGTGGTGGGGATGTTGCTCCCTCTGCCACTTACCCCGTGGGTAAACACTCGTCCAGCCGTTTGCTCTGATAGCCTGCGTTGTAGTTGATCTGGCCGCCTGGGCTACAGGCAGTAGCCTGCATGGTCAGTTGGAGACAAGCACATTTCGACCTGCAACAACACTGACATGTTACGGCCACGAGGGCAACACTGCTTCATTAAAGAAATACGCAAGTTCCCCACCAACCCTCGCTGCAGGAGTGAGTCCCCACTCCCAACAATCCCCGGCATCCCCGCAGGAGCAAGATCGCCCCCTTCCAACCCCCAACAATCCCCGCAGGAGCAAGATCGCAACTTCCCCTCCCCACCCCCAACAATCCCCGGCATCCCCGC